CGTGGCTCCAGATTTCCCTCAGCCGTACTCTAGCCCTGGTCAGCATCGTTTACATCGTCGTATTGCCTCTCTCTGTGGGCAGCGAGATCTCCTCCTTGAGGGCAGTCGGATCCTTCAGCATCTGGGTCATGCTTTCTACTGCTGTCCTCGCCTTGTGCAAAATACCATGGTCAGAGCTAGACACGGACCGACCAAATAACATGACGCATGTCGGCTTCAACTGGCGCCAAGGTAAATCACAACAAGACTGATGCGTACACGATGTTCATCTATCTCAGTGATGCATGCCTTGTCTATGGGCACGTTCGCCTATATGAACCAAGTAAACGCAGTGTGCATCACCTCTGAGCTCCACAAACCAACACGACAACGACTAACTGCTGTATGCGGATGGGCGGCCCTCGGTCTCTTTTTATGCTATGCTACCCTTCTATCAGCAGTGTGAGCCTCCTCACCGACCCTTCTCTCCCCATCATGTCTATATGTAGATACCTAACTTTTGGCCAGGCAACCACCTCAAATTTTCTTCAGAGTTACCCCCTAGATGATGCGGCTGTGAATGCATGCCGAGTTGTAGGTGACGCGTCTCACTGGTTTTCCTCCCATGGCCTGTCTTCTTAGGCAGTCTCTCTGACACTTATATTCGCGTGTCCCCTCAATTTGTTCCCGATTACTAGCTCATTCTTTCACGCCATAGACCGGCGCCATCTAGCCAAACACGCAGGAGTGCGGATATTGTTCAACACGATCGTCCTCACTATCTGCCTTATCACAGCGATCTGGGTGCGAACCTGCGTGTCACCATTCGTGTCACCACTCATCTCTTGATAGGTCCCTGACGTTGGCTCATTCATCGGCTACGTTTCGGCTTACATGGCTACACCGTTGATGATAACTATACCGGCGTTTGTCTACATCGCATGCTGCCGGGCTGAGGATGATATGCTCGCTCGTAAGGGAGTCGTCGTCGAACGGAACCTCTGTAGAAGGTAAGCGCTTTCTCAAGGCCTCTATAGGCTTATATAGGTCTTTGGCTCGTAGGTCAAGTCGTATGGTCATCCCAGCAATCGCCCTCTCACTCACTGTACTTTTATGGACGGCCGCCACGGTGAATATTTTTGCGAGTCAGAAGGCTTGATTAGCTCACTTCGTGACTGCGGCAATATGGAGATTATTTCGACGTTCGTATCGTGCGGCCCTTTCAAGGGTCTTAGATGCACTCATTGAATCGGCGAATGCCCTACGAGTGGGTTTCTTTGGTCATCTTACCGTGTTGATGTTGTTATTATGGATTGCTAGGGAAGAAACTGCCAGTAGAAACTGTCATGAACAGTGCTGTCGATTCCGTGATGGAATTTCGTATATTACGGCACGTAACCGTCAATTCTACCCATCTTTATTTCCATAGTGTCGATGGAGGAGCTTTAGCAGAACCCCTATGTATTACCGTCTCTAAAAAAATCCCACAGGAAAGATTAACGTACAGAAGCAGCATATAGTATAAACTGGCAGATGTTCGTGTTGAGCACCGTCATAGACAAGTCGCTCAAGGGGATGACTATAACAGATGATAGATCCATGTAAGACGATCAACATACTCCATCTTCAGTATTTTCCATCGTAGACCTCAGCTATCCGTTTCTTTTTCTCGTAGTTAGTGTGTTCTTGCCTTTTTCAGTTGCTTGGTATAATCTAGTCATATTCCGATCTTATTTCTACTCAATAAATACGTAATATGCAAATTTATCGGAACTTGGTAAGTGTATTCACCAAGTGCAAGCTATTTATCTGACAGCCGGCGACAGTCATGTCATTTGGTTACTAACGACAAGTACAATATTCAAGAATGTCAATAACTACAGGGTGTTGAGAAAGAAAGGGTCCACCAAGTTTAGGCACCATCTGTTTACTGCCCTCATCGATCAGCTCGAGGAGTTGCGATATGCGCCTCTCCCGGGTTTGAGCTATGCTTTCCATGGTGAAATGAAATTGATGGCATCAATTTGATGCCCCTAGTGCGATATTGAAGTCTCCTAAACAGCGCACGGTCGAAATTGCAGTTTCTATGGGAGTATCTTGACACACGAATGCGCTCGCCTGAGGAGTACGAAGTTTCTGATGAATAAACAGTTGGAGTGTTCAGCAGACCTCCCTGAGTTTCAAGACCGCTCCCAGGATCGAGTTTTACATACGGAATCCAACCCTGGTAGCGCTCTTAAAGAGACTCTCAGGCAGGATTATCCTGCAAGTAAAACTGAAAGTGTGTTGTTGGTGAACTCAGGTTCCATCTTGGGGAGCCCCATTTCTCACGTATTTTATTTGTTCATTATGGAATCCTTCCTGGAATCGATTTTAAAAAGCGTGTCTAGTGAACGCCAGTCGGAATTGATTCTGGAATATTTTCATCTTTCAACATCGTGTTTATTGAACACGACTTCAGGAACGATTCCGATAATCGATCTCGAGAATCGATTCCAGCATCGCACACAGCCCTGTCTCTCGAACGGGCGGCGAGTCTTCCCAGTGCTAACTCAAAAGTGTCGTTGTCTACGGAGTTAAGAGAATGATAGTGATATTAAACTTAATAGAGCTACTATCAACATCATAAACCGATAATCGTTCAATAATCCCGCAACGGAGGCACGTGTACAAAGCGGTGGGCGCTTTACCTATACGTGCCAACGGAGCGATCGATGTCATGTTTGGCAAAAAGGAGACTGTCTGCAATGAAAAGGCCTTTCCGATGGCTTGCTGCAGTGAACCCAAGCGTACCCTCAATATATACTTCATCATCATCAGCAGCAGCAGCAGCCACGGGCATGCAGAATCGAGGCAAGAGAAGACAATGATAATGACGATGCGACATACAACAACCCTCCAGTTGTTGGTGTATCACAACTCTCTGGGTAGCGAGATGTATCTGAAGACGACATCATTTCAGATATCTACTGCCTGGGCCCCTTCGGAATCATCACAGATAGAGGTATGCGTTGAATATCAGCGGGATATTACTGCCCAGAATATTACACAGTGAAACGTAGCGAACCCACAAATCACCGATGGGTTACATTATGAGTGAGATGGACCAAGGTAGTCTTTGACACACTACTTAAGCGTTGAAATACATGTTTACAAGCTACACTACGCACGACTTGGTGTAGAACTGTACAAAAACTACCAACAAGAATTTCCTTGTTGTCACCAACGCGTGATTGACAACGCACTCCTCTTCCACCTACTCGTTTTCGTATCCAATACCAACACATAGGAGAATCATGAGCAGCGCCGTGACATGGACGAACCTATATGCATAGTAAATCAGCCTTCAGAGCAGAATAGAAAAAATTGATACATGCCGGGTTTGAACTTGGGATTTGGCTGGGTCTCCGTATCGAAGATACGATCCCAAAGCCTCAGAATTGGGGCGTAGTTCTTCTGACTTCTCTCGGAGTGATGTAAGTCATGAAGCTAAATAATAGACATGAAAAATCGACCCGCGATAAATCACAATTCACCCCTACAGGTGCGCCTCCACCGAGTTCGAAGGGCCACAGATTGAACGGTGACCACCTACGAATCACTGTGAGATTTCCTTACACTCAACGAGCAGTAATACCATGTGTTATGACCACTGTGCTCTTCGAGGAGCCAGGCCACCCAAATGAAAGCGAATATGCTCAAAGTCAACCAGTGGTGACCCATGAAGATGGGATACCAGAAGTAGACTACCAGACTACAGGCCTGAAAGGAACTAATCGTTATAGTCGCTAGTGGTCCACGCCTACATGTTCAATGGGGTGGAGAACAACACCGCTCCAGCTATATGGTTCATAGTACTGATGATGAACACTGTGGATGTTACGATACACCCACGGGATGTGGAGCATACGATGATACCAGTACGTGCCGGAATCACCAATGATCTGAGCTCATCGTGAGTAGAAGGTGAGTTTGACAGTAACCTTACGAATGACATCGTGATGTCAGTAAAGGCCTCCCATAAGGTTGGGGCCTCAGCCGGAAGGCTAACGTGGTAGCTCGTCATGGCAATACCAAAGCTCATCATCAGCGTGAACCCGATGGACTGTCCGCAGTAAAACTAAGCCAATGTTGGACATGGAGAACTCACTTGGAAGACTGTCTGGAAGAGCAGGGTTCCGACGGTCGGCCATCTCGAGGGCTGAAGGATGCGATGAGGAAGAAGAACGACCACGACACGTAGGCGACGGCAGCGGCGGACCAACCTGAATCTTAGTCTCCATGAATTTGGGTATATCATAGAATAAAGTGTAGTATGTGCAGATGGCAATATAAGCAGCAGTAGCGACAACCTGAGATGGTGATACCATTGACAGTTCGACTCGATGGTGTCACCCCTGGGAAGAGGAAGTGGGAGACCAGATGAAGGTCCCTCCACTGCTCCAAATCCAACAGTTGATCCCAGAGTGGTTGCAGGACCAGAGGACGGCCCGATGGCGACGTAAGAATAGAGATGTCGATCATCCAAAAGCAACTATGCTGGTGATACCCCAATCTCGGACGACCTTAACCTGCTCATTGTAACCAGGCTCCACGTAGTAGCAAGAAGAGCCCATCCAACACAAGCCCGTCACGGCACCATTGTGACAACAACAACATCATCATAGCATCGTTATACAACATCACGATAAGATAGGAACATGGCGTTTTCCCCTTCGTCGACTCCTGGTCCAAGAAGTGTCCATTCTATCCGTCTTCCACCTCGGGTCTATCAACGGTGTAGACGGCCTTCGTCTGATGAGCTTAGACCCATCACCAGCAACCTCACCAGAATAGATAAAGTGATCATCATAAGCCATTGCAGTCTCAGGAGCCACCCGACGTCCTCTCATCACAGGAATCGAATTGACTGTACCAAAGGTTTCAAAGTGGTCCTGTCGGCCCTTCACCATAGCATCGCCATAAAACCTCTTAGACGGTCGAAACTCCCTCTCAGCACGCCAATTATCAACCCAGCCCTCCTGAAGGGGCGTGCCCATCCTCCTGTGTCCAGGCACGTCTTCCCACTTGGGCACACCCAGCGATTCGAAATGGTCATTAACCAGAGTGCTGCCGTTACCACCATGTCGCTTCTCAGGGTCAATGAATGCTGGTCTGTCTGAGACCCCTGGTTGGAGCATATGATCAACCCAGCCCTCCTGGTCCGCTGACCCTCCCAGCTTCCCCTTCGCCATCGCCTCGACCTTAGGCGCCACAACCATGTCGAAATCATCGTGCCAACCCTCTTGTGTGGGCGAGCCGTGCAACTTCACTTTGGGAAGGTCCTTAATCTTCGGCCCCAGATTAGACTGCAAATGGTCATGCCAGCCTTCCTGAGTGGCCCCATGGTGGAGTCGGCTACCCCCACCAACATCATGATGGGCATCACTCTGAGCCGTACCAATATCATCGAAATGGTCATGATACCCAGCTACCGTGGGCGAGTAATGTAACCTACCTCCTACCCTTGGACCCACCCCGACCCCACCCCCACATGCCGCTGTAGGGAGCTGCTGATCGTCCTGAGTGGTGCCATCATCGACGACTGGTGATACGACCACAGCCTGCTGTTCTTCTTGTTGCATGGCCTCTCGAGAGACGTCATCTATTCCTCCCAGTGTTATCGTACCCCTCAGGGCCGTCCACGTGTTCCTCGTCTTCATCTTGCCCCTAGCCTTCTCTCTTGGTGTGACACTCATCCCCTGTGTCACCATGTGACTGGCCATCCAAGGCGGAAGAGCTACACCCGTCACCGTCCCGGAAACCTCTTGCCCGGACACACCCTCATTGTGTGAGGCTTCTTGAAAGGTATGAGTGGGGACGTGATCACTCGCATCAATCTCGGCGGGCACCACGATAGACCCCGATCGTGGTGGAATACACTCTAGTTCCTGAACGTTCAACATAACAGCTCCAAGCCAAGCCATGTCGATAGTAATTCGAAAGACTTCAGAACAGACCTCGAGGAGCCGACAGAACAGCAGGGGGATATGCACATGGTCAACTACATGTGTTGGTGACTATATGAAAATTGCTAGGGAAATTTCCGGTTCTTGCACACATATTCCCGAATTCCTATACTTAGTGAGAGAACTCCTGAGCTCAGCTGAGGGAAGCGAACATAAATCCCAACACTGCAATAGGAGTTCACATGTAGGATGCGCGAGTGATGAATACCATACTCATACGGTTATGAAAATTATGATAAAACGTTTTTGAATGACCACACCTTGAACTGGCTATACGATATCGACTACTATCATATCAATCCCTCAGTGTATAACCAACATACCACTCGTCCACTGCATCTCACCTCAATGTCAGCAGCTAAACGACTGGACATCTCCCACCGTGAAGGGTTATAGATGCTCCTGGGGTATCCAAAATCCGATGCATTTCTATCGCACAAGTATGCCTGCAGTTCCAGAATCCACCTGAATACACGTCGAC